CAAGAGGAGGAGGAGGAGGAGGGACCGCTGCGGGTAGGGGGAGACGGGAGTGTCGAGAGGTTCGGTGCAGACCTTGAGCGAAATGCACGGTGGAGGTTTGCGTGGGGCTCCCTCCTTCAGTGCGGGAGAGAGCGGTGGTTGGGTGCCGTGTCGGATCTGTCCCGCTCTTTTCCCGGCAGGTGCGTCCAGGTGTTCACCCTGATGTTGTGTTTAATCTTTCTAAGTGTCAGGAACAGTCGTGGCAGGGAATGAGGTCACTCCAACATGACTGCACTGGCAGCTCCTATAAAACCACCCTGCTGGCCCGGCCTGTCAGCCTTGCTGGGGGAAAAATAAGCTTGCCTCTTCTTTGTTCCTTTTATATTTTTTTCTTCTTTTTTTTTGTGATGAAAGGAATATCAGGTTTATGAGAGAACAAATCATTTGAGGCTGTAAGACACGGAATACTTACCAAGGTGAAAGTAATGAGGCCCGATCCAAGTTATTTTTTCTTGAGATGAAGAAGGCAGTGCCGGGGCAGGTTGGGGTGGCATTCCCCTGTCCCGCTGGAGACCTCCAACTTGTGTCTCCCGATTTCAGTAGCAGCACCTCCTGCTCTCTGTCGGCTGCGTAGTGAACTTGAATCCACCTGGGTGACTTTCGCCCGTGGGTGAGAAAGTCTTCTGGATGGAAGAGCTGAAACGATTGCCCAGATGTCGGTAGCATAATTGTGCAACTCTCAGTATACCCACTGAGTTGGTACCAAGTCATGTGAGGGTACCTCCCGGTGCTGGTTCTGGCTGGGATAGAGTTGATTTTCTCCCCAGTAGCTGGTGTGGGGCTGTGTTTTGGCTTTGTGCTGAAAGCAGCATTGATAATACAGGGATGTTTTCGCGGTGTGATGCTTAGTTGCTCTATGGCCTTAGCAGTAACACTCCCTAAATTATTGTGTCTTCTTGTGCAAAAAAAAAAAAGGCTTGGGGAGGAGTGGCTGGAAAGCTGCTCAGCAGAGAGGGACCTGGGGATGTTGACTGACAGCCGGCTGAACATGAGCCAGCAGTGTGCCCAGGTGGCCGAGGCGGCCAACAGCATCCTGGCCTGTATCAGGAACAGTGTAGCCAGTAGGACAAGGGAAGTGATTGTCCCCCTGTACTCGACACTGGTGAGGCTGTATCTTGAGTACTGTGTTCAGTTTTGGGCCCCTTGCCACAAGAAGGACGTTAAGGCACTGGAGCGAGTGCAAAGAAGGGCAACGAAACTGGTGAGGGGTCTGGAGCACATGTCTTATGAGGAGCGGCTGAAGGACCTGGGCTTGCTTAGTCTGGAGAAAAGGAGGCTTAGGGGAGACCTTATTGCTCTACAAATATCTGAAAGGAGGTTGCAGAGAGGTGGGAATCAACCTGTTCTGTCAAGTAACAGGTGACAGAACAAGAGGAAATGTCTTCAAGTTGCACCAAGGGAAGTTTAGATTGGCTATTAAGAAGAATTTCTTTACTGAAAGGGTCATCAGGCATTGGAATGTGTTACCCAGGGCAGTGGTGGTGTCCCCATCCCTGGAGGTATTTAAGAGTCATGTAGATGTAGTGCCTAGATGATCTTACAGGTCTTTTCCAATCTAGGAGATTCTGTGATTCTGTGAAAAAGACGACGAGGACTAGATCTAGAACCAGTATATACGATTTTTTATTTTTGATTTTTTTTTTTTTTCAGAGTGCAGGCAAGGATAATTCAGGGGCTTATGACTGCAAGGGAAGAAGAGGGGGGGTGGGAAAACCAACAGGTATGTTTTCTCAATACCCTGAAAATTTTCTTTTTCATGTAATCTTTGTATATGCTTACAAATCTGATTACAGAAATGTAAAAGAACCATAATGTAACAAAAGCATGTAGAAGGTTCTCATTTTATGAATTCCCAATTCTGTTTTGAGACTTTTACAAGACAAGGACTGACTGTGTTTTGCTAGCAGAAGGAGACTGTGACCACCTCACAAGCCAAAGTTGACTGGGGAGAGGAGAGGGAGGGTGATGATTATGCAGGAAAATATTTGATGCCAAACACAACTGATTGCATGATTACAGTGAAACTGTTTCAGAAGTCCTCCTAGAAATTTGTACTAGTTGTGACTGGATATTTGTTTCAGACCCCTAGATCGCTTACTACTTTGCGCTTTTTAGGCGGAAAAGGGTTTAGTTGACAGCACTCATGCTAAGCAGGTAACACCAGGATGCTTTTGCCGCCTTGCATTCCACTGGTCTGTGTATTGCGCTAACATGGTGCTATTGACTTTCAGGTCCAAACTGCAAGCTCGGAGCAGCTAGTCATTGTTGACGCGGAAGCACGGACAGATACACCACGACCAATATGATCAGGGTAAATGCCACTTTATTGCACAGATAGCTCAGCTAATATAGACAATTTTCTCCCGCGCCACGCAACACTCAAGCAATAATTGGTTACATGCATAGTTCAAACAAGCATCTCTACTATATGATTGGCTAGCCCCAGCTGTTCCGTTCACAAAGCACAATTTGACCTTCGACATTCCTTGAAGCTTACACTGTCGTCAACAAGTTCTCAGTGCTTGGGGTGCTCACAGGGTGACCATTGATCTCTAAAAATTCTCCCACAAGTCATGATGAGTTTCTGTTGCCATCGTAATACAGGAAGGCACATCTCAAAATTCCGCAGTGTTGGACTGCAACCCTTCTAGTTGATATGCAGTGTGTA